GCCGCCATGTGATTGGCTGATTAGAAATTAAGTGTTAACGAGCAGTTGGACAGGTGTACCTAATAAAGTGGCCGGTGAGTGTATATTCATCCACAGAGTTGATGTGATCAGTGAAATGTTGGACTTCCTGGGCTTTAATTTTAACCCAGGTGTCGTCAACATATCTGAACAATAGGAGAATCTGGGGATCCCATAGCACACCCATGTTTCTGCCTTAGAGAAGAACCCGTCCAGAAGACTATACAATTTTTTTTCTTTTTGATTTTTTACCTGGATTACTGAGATGCATCAGGACAACACTTACTGAAAGTTCGGGAGTTAGCTAAATATCACACAAAGTTGACATTTCCTTTCAAAATTAGGACACATTCAATTTCACAACAAGATGTTTAACTTGATGGGTGCATTTAGGTGAAATGGTTCATAAAAAAATCAGTTCACCGGATCTGTTTTCAGTTGCAATCCAGTGATAGGATGTCATCTTTTAAGCCACCAGCAGGTGAAGCTGTTTCTGCATTATTGATGTAGAGATTGTGTTTTCCCAAGACTTTAGGTCAAGGTAGACAAAGTACAAGATGTTTTTCCTGAGGCCATTTTTTTTCTTGTTTCTAGTGGGGCCTAGTGTTCATTAAAATTGAAAATATAGACCGTCCCATTGATTTAGTGTCATGTTGATTAAATATGTGAGGAACTTTGCAGTTCCCTTATTCCTTCTTTTTTTCAGTGGACCCCACACATATTAGAAGGCAGATTTCATAATCCACAGAAAGCTATGTTTTGCTTTGAGGATAAAAGTTGCTTCCTTCTCCGGTCGTGACCTCCCTGTCTGTTTTCTGCCATGGATCACTGAGTGAATTTTCGTGATTAAAAGAACTCACAAAACACACTCGTATATTTCATACCTTGTCAAGAAACGATTGTCTTCCTGTAGATAACGCTCCGTCGCAATCTTGCATTTTGGGAGCATACGTGGATGATTCTGCCTGACAGCGGAGTTGCATAACAACTGAATAATAGATTAAATCAAAAGCCTGCGCTGAATATGCTGGTTGAAAAAGTGAACCGTGGGTTTTTATTCCCCTGTGTTAGCAGATGTAGCGGCTGTCAGGTACTTCTTGCCGCACACATCACAAAAAAAAGTAGCACTGGAACAGCAGTGATTGACACGTAGCGTCGTCTTTGTGTTGACTCTTACATTTCATTGTGGTTTTCTTTCATCCTGATCCAGCCTAGCGGTACACGAGATTGTGTATTTTGTCCTTCTACTGTATTGATGTGTATTTTCTTCACACTCTTGTTGTTGTTGTTGTACATTTGTGGCCCTCTCAGTCCCTGTGCTTTGTGTCCGTATTTAAGAAAAGGAACTGTGAAACTAAACTGTAGCTTGTTGCCCCGCAGCAACATCTACAGAGCCAATTAGTGGAGGAAACAGCACAGGAAACAGGATTTTGAGGATCTGGGTCATGGGAGACAAAAGAGAAATAGGTTGTGAGAGGAGATAAGACAGTTACTAATGATTTTATTTTATTTATTTTTTTATTTTTTGGTATCACCCGTCTACAGTTACTGTATGCTCCCAGTTGACACAACTGTGACAAAAAGAGTTGGTCATAGATTGTTTAACTTTCCTTTTGATATAAGTTCTTGGAAAGGTCAGCTTATATTGCAGTCATTAATTAGGGCATGTCTTTAAATAGAGCTTCTTTAGAGAACCCCTAATCTGAATGAGTTAGAACCATATGAAAATGTAAATTAAAGCAAAAAAAGTGTAAAATTTACCAATTATTTTTGATTTATTTCACTGCAGAAAGTATAAACCTAAGAAAATATGTGAAAAGAAAAAAAAAGTTTTTTTCTACTCTAAAGCTGAAATAAAAAAAAAACAATAAAGTAGAAAATTCATTTTTCCATATTTAATGTCAAAATGGATAACTGGCTGGTTTTCACTTTCAGCCATTATTACGGTATTTTGATTGAAAGTTGCCTAACATTTACCTAGAATACAGCGGAAATCTATAATATTTACAGCCTATAGCTCACACAGCACAGAACTGCTTTTATTCAGTAATTTTAATGTGAAAAACAATGTCAGTCACCGTGTATGCATGTTTTTTAACATTAGTCTGTGTTTTGTTTATTTATATATATTTCTGAAAAAAGTTGCCATTGCAAAGCATTTATCCACTCAAATTGATAATATTCCTTTGCACACAATTTTAAACATGATTTATCATTTAATGTCAAATTTATTTATAGCACATAAGAAAACAACAAAAGCTTTCCAGACATTATTTTTCCGTAGTCTTTCAGCTTTAGTGCATGGCAAGTGTTTTCTTTTATAAATTCTACACATTTGTTTTTTTTTTTTCTCATCAGAAATACATGCAGGCCAGTTTGTAGTCTTAGCCTTATATCTTATATACTGTATTAGTATATAATTATATTAGTTATATATTAGTAATGTGTGCAGAATCTGATTATGTATTAACTTGTTAAAATTGCAGGATTGAAGAAAAAAAATAATTAATTTAAACAAACAAAGTAAAATCTATTTACCAAAAATGAACTTAGGATGTTGCTGCATCTCAGTCATACAACCCTTCTCGACCTTTGGACATTTCGGTGCTAACAGATGTTCAAATTAGGGATGCACCAATATGAAAATTTCAGCCGATATCGATATTTGATATTAATATTGCTGTTACACAAATTATTTATATTCACATACGCACAAACACATTTGTGTCCTTTTTCGATACCGTTAAAAACGGTAAGCGGGATATCAATATCAGACATTGATATCGGACCAGTTTTACTTATCAGACCGGTACAGATATGCTAAAAAAAATTACCAACATTGGCCGATACCTATGTTAATTCTGATATATTGTGCATCCCTAGTTCAGGTTTAGATAGATCACTTTTGGTTGGTGTGCCATAGTCTTAAATAAAAAGTTTAAGCAAGAAAAAAACATCTCCATCTAGAAATTTAAAACAAACACATTGAGAGCTCCCAGCTATTGTAAAMGTCTTCTCATGAACAATTCATAAATACAACCATTTTTGCTCAGAGGACACCCAAGTCATGTTCAATTATTGATCATGTACTAGCTTGTTCTGTCCCCGAAGAATCTGATTGTCAATAGAAATTTAATGAATTTGACTCGGAGAGTCACTTTTGTTTGCCTATGTGCTGTGTGTATAAGTCTAAGAGCAAACACTTGTAATAAAAAAAAAAAAAACATTTTTCTTAAACCCATAGAGAACTTAAGGATGTGCACTGAATACATGCATATTTAATATGTGGTTAAAATGCAATGGCACATGAGTTCAGATAGTCAAACACATTTTCTTAAATTTAAAATGTCTTTTTGTGTTCATGAGTAAATGTAAGCTTTTACTTCAATATAGTTGAGTCAACRTGTTTCCTGTGACTATTTAAAGCGTTTGATCACCTTAAATACCTATAAAGGGAAGTTGACTTATTTATTGTGAGTTTTTGATCACAGCACCAACCTCAGCAACGAAGGATCTCTAAGATGTGCAGCCGTGTTTGACAGGTGGTCTCTGGAAAGTCCAGAGCTGGGATTTCATTTTACACCAGGGATACAAAAAAGGCACTGTTGCAGATCATCAGTTTAATCAAGTCAAAGAGATCAGTGGCATCAGTAGCAGGTTCAGTGAATATTAATCACAACCAGACTAACCACTGAAGAATCTTGCCAGCATATTAAACACATACACACAAATTAAATAATTAAATAAATAAATGGTAAGACCAAGAAGAAACAAATGTAGATCAGTCGTTTTGACAAGCGCCTAGAACATTAAAGATATAAAGTTAAAAAAAATAAGGGGAAAAAAAAGTTATGTGCCCTTAGGCTAATCATTGAACTCTGCAGCCTTTTAAAGTCTGTTTAAATCAGGGAGATGATTACATCTCAAAAGATTGGGCATCAGTCATTTMTTTTAATTTATTTGAAAATGTCTTATTTATAGTTAGTTTCAGGTCTGCCTTTTTAAGGGGCACAAGTAACATTTAAAACGTGGTAAAATATCTCCCATCCTCACAAACACACACTTCAATTTATTTATTACTAAAATGTGAAAAAGGCCAACCAAAGAACACAGATCTTAATATAAGTTATGAAAGATAACCGTAGATCATAGATCGACCAAGCAACTGAACGAAACATGAGTTGTTTTTCAGCTTACCTGGGCAGACGACAGCGGTGTTTGTATACTTGTGAGTTTTGGAGTTGCATAGTTTTTTAGTGATAATCTTGTTTCTAGTCCACTGTTAAATTCCTTTTTGTTCAGAAAACTATCATCCGTAAAGTGGCTCGCACAAAAATATAAAGAAATTTAAGTTAAAAAACTTTTTTTTTAAGAACCATGTCATCCTTGGCATCCAAAAATACATTTCCTCAAAGGCATTTTTTAATCCAAAAAGGACTGGACTAAGAAGTATTACGAGCTCACTACTTGTTTGCTAGTTGTTGCTGCCGATAGCCTGCAGGAGCCGTGGGGGAGGTGTGCTCTGTGATGCAGAAGCTCAGCTTGGAGACACAGGCCAGAGGAGGAGCTGCACCCAGAAGGCGGTTCTAGGCCCAACCAGCCATTTTTGTTCTCCTGAATAACTAGCAAAGGACAGCACAGGATTTCTCAAACATGCATGAACGAGTCAAATAAATTCTCTGTGCATGTTTTTGATAAAGGAATGACATTATAACATGATATAAAGCTCAAAAAAGTTGATTTTACATGATATTGCCCCTTTTAGATTTTTGCACAATATTCACCATCATCAGCATATATCATTGTAAACTGAAATTATTGTAATCTGAATGAATCTTCAGAGCACCGTAAAAAGAGTCACTCTGTAGTGTAATAGTATTTGTCTTCTAACTCTCCTTCCTCTGTCACCTTTGTACCATTTTTCTCAGCAAGGTCATGTGTTTTCATCCCTGGTCTGATGTCACCCTCCCTCTCATGAAAAGACAGGAGGTTGTCAAGGTGATTGACAAGTGGGCGGAGCTCGTAGAGGAACTCGGTGCCACATACCCATGGGTTCAGGTACAGAACACACACCTCCTCATTCATAATCGTTTCTCCACAGCTGATATAATTTTCCCTGGACTTGGTATCTGTGAAATTGTAACTGATAGGATTTTCACACTGTTTTTCTGAGTCACTCACCAATTAGTTTTCTGCCCTGTCCATTTCTTATTCCCATTTTAATGTGTATTGGATTGGATTGTGTAAATCCTTAATGATGCTTCTAGGCMAGCTCATATATTTACCCACCTGCAGCAGAAAGAGAAAGATGCATACAGGGATTATAAGATGTAGAAGTGTATTATTTAAAATCTTACTATATTAATATGCACATTTACTGATTTAAAAAGTGGTATCTATTCACAGTTTAGCAAATGAAGCTTTTCGCATTAGCACCGTTTGTTTAAATGACCCAAATGCTGCATTACTTAAGGTATGCTGACATAAAACCTGCTAGAACCTTAAAGTTATGCTTTTATGAACCATTAACAAATCACAGCCCTAAAGGTGCGAAATGAAACCAGAAACCTGAACTGTGCTGATTTACATAATTGGGTTCTTTTCGCGAGTCAACCAACACACTGTAGATAATTATCCTCTAAAAATATGCCATAATTTAGTTACCCTGAATAATGATAAAAAAATAAATTAAAGGAAAATGTGGTATTACAACCTGGAATAACTTGTCCTCTTTCTGTTTATAGATCTTTGAGAATAAGGGAGAAATGATGGGTTGTTCAAACCCACATCCTCATTGTCAGGTAAGCAACGCACAAATGACACATTTCTGTAGCCTGGTAAAAACCAGCCCCTTGTTCGATTTGCTTCGTACAGAGGGTCTGGAACCTCGGTAATTGAGAAGCGATTTCTTGCTAGAGGTGTGGACTCCGTTGAAGTTTAAAATGATTGGATCTGATTTACTCACTTGCTAAAGTTTGGCCGTGACGGTGCGCCAGCTCAACTGTGAAGGAAGCTAAGCTAAGAAGCTAACCGGAAATTGCGTGGTCTGTAAACAACCGTCCCCTACTGGGAAGAGCGAAGTACTGAGCCGAACAAGATGGCTGTAAATGAGAGCTGCAGGCTTTGTGAGACAAATTTATTTTAATTTGGAAGCCTTTTCAAATTGAACTGGCTTCATTCACTTCCTCCGCTGCCATTGCTAAACCACAAGCAGACTAAAACTACGCAGAAAATCGATGACGTCGTTCACAACTCTGCCTCCTGTTTGCCGATTGGCCTGGTTGAAATTGTACCTGAGAAATCCTTGTCTATGGGAGAAATCCCAGACGGAGCAGAGAAGGGAATATAATTGAGTGGAACATTGCCAAGCTAACATTTCCGCAGAAGTTAATTATTTAATTCGGGCTACAATGCCACCACATACTTGCTGTAAAATCTAAGTTAAAGTGTATC